TTTCGACACGTTGCAAAACACGTCTGAATGTCACGAAGTGCCGCGCCTGCCACGCGAAACGAAGCAACGGGACATATGGAACCTCCAAAAGTGACCCCTTTTGCAGAACTTACCATAGGCACGGCCATAGGGACCTCGCGCGGACGGTTGCGGACGGTTGCGGACGGTTGCGAACGGTTGCGAACATAAACGCAATGTCGAGCGAACACACCCTCAACCCCGAAACCCCAAGAGTGAAACGGGAACCCTTGCTACGCATTCGGCAAAAATCTTCGAGCTCTTTGCCTTTGACCTCGCCATCGATCTGAAAGGCCTTAGTGTCACAGGCGTTTGCACAATTCAAACAGTGTCTGAACATTTTTTTCAGTATAGAATTTACCTTCAAAAAGTTTGGACAAGGTCCGAACTGTGCGAATGTAGCGCCGTTAATCCCAATCAATGTTGCTGCGGCACAGGCAAGAACAACCAGCCTGCCTGACCACAGAGTTGGCGAAAGAACAAAATGCATCAACAAGCATCAGAAAACAACAACTGAAAAGTTTCGACTCTTTGCAGCCTTGCCTTTATCCATCTTGCCCAACTACACAATTGAACGGAACGCGATCCATGAGCTTTTTCGAGCCGAATGGTGCATCATGGTGCAGCATCAAACAATGCATGAAGAAAGGTTGACAGGTCGACAGTACTAGTACAAATCACTATGAAAGCTTCATTGGTGACCTCAAAACACTTGAGTTTGGAAAATCTTGGAATCATGAAATGCACATGACACTTCTAACATCTTCTAAGACTATCAGACTATCATGGTGAAGCCTGGTGCCTGGAGAGCCTTCTTGTATGGCCATTCCTGCGACCATCCCTTCTTATAAGAATCTTGAAAATCTTATCACATCTTATCACGTCTTGGCACATTGCAAGCCTTCGGCAAACTAGTGAATCACAAATCACAAAATCAAAAAGCTCAGCGCATGCAAGCCTTTTCTGTTAGGTCTTGACAATGTTGCTCGCTTGCTTGGCCTTCTTCTGCTGCTGTCCTTTCTTCGCCTGCAGCATACCATTGCAAACTTCTCACGCTACAGTGGACATGCTGTTATTTCTGCATTCTTGCAGAACAGGTTGACGTTGATAATCCTAGGCGCACAGATTTCTCATGATTTATTGACGTCGCACTTTGTGAATCAAGCGTCTGGGATCTGTATATATGAAGGTCATCCCAAGTCACTTCTTCCGCACCAAACATGACGGTTCGTTGAACTCCGGACTGGTAGACGTCAAAGCAAGACTTGTTGCTGGAACCAATCAATGTTGCTATAGCCAAAACTGTTGACCAACAAAATGAATGAAACAAGCCCACCAGTACCGCTTGCTATTTTTGGACACAGCAATTTTAGTCATGAGCCTGGTGAAGAATGCTTTCTGATGGTATGCCGGCCTGACACGCTCTGCTTGTGGACTGTGTGGGCTAGAACAGCTGCATGGCAAGCGCATGTTCGTCACGTGTCCGGCCCAAGTTCTGGAAACAGAAACGCCTTAAGGTTGGCAGGGTCATTTGTGTCCCTTGCTTCAAACTTCCTTATGAGACTCTATCAATACAAGCAAACTTAAACAAAGTAAGTCTTTCAGTGCTGTATGTGTTTGTCCTTTAAACCTTGAGGGTCTCTTGTTCTTCTCTTCTATCTCTGGGCTTTTGATGATTCCAAATCACATCTGGTCGTGGCTTCTTCACACCTTCGTGTTGCGGCCTTTCTTGTTCCCCTTTGCTGGTTCTCCAGGTTCTTGCTTCTTTCTACTTCCTAGAGATTATCGCCTTTTCAATCTGACTGCTTTTGCGTCAGTTTGCATTCTCATTAAGAATTCTACAATGTTCTACATATTCCTTTCACCCCAGGCGTGTGGAATTTGTGATTCACTGGGTGCTTGTGTGGTACAATCGGCACTTCTTTGCTGGTTCAGCCGCTAGCATGTTGTCTTCACATCGTTCTCGCTTGTCTGGTCTTGTCTCCTTCTTCGTTCTTGCATACATTTTTTGAATAATAATATTGAAATATTCTGCACATCGCACAAGTCTCACAGTGAGAACTGTTGAAGTAGCCACCTGGCCGATTCTTGGAAAACCTTCCAACATGCCACAAATGCTCAAGCAAAATACGGGCAGTGTGCGTCATATCTTTTGCTCTGACACAAGCTGGCTTTCGTGACAAACAAACGAACGAGCGAACAAACGAATGTATACACACGCCGCGCAACTTTTGAAAGATAGCAGCGGTAGATGGCACAGCCAGACACAATAATTGCTATTTTCGGTAGATGGCACGACCCTTAAATGTCAGCGCTGTATGCGGATAACGCCTGTAACTTTGTTTTTCTTGGGTTTTTGTAGTGATTTACTTTGCTGTGAAGCTGTCAACGCAAACACGCAGACCGTGCACAGTAGATTGCAATTCACCTGGGAATGCACGCTTACAGACTGCGCGCTGTAAATGACACAATTCATGGAGACCCTGCACACGCAGCAATAAGACGGTGCAATTCACCCTAGGACCTACACACCGCGCGCTACATGTATAAGTATCACCATCATACTGGCAAAAATCACCAAAATTCATCATAATGGCGCAGGGTCGGACAGGACAGACAGTGTGCACTGCAATTTGATGGCGCGATTCACCCTGGGACATGCGCTGATGGCTCAGTCTTCGTTAGTGATGCAAAGCACTATGCGGCTATGCGGCTATGCGGCTATGCGTTTTTTTTCTGTTTGCGTATCTGCTTTGTACATGCCTTTCCATCCTCTGTGTGTGTACCATCTGTAAAGATGTAAAACTTCCTAATTAATATGCAGGGGCGTGTGGCACTCATGTCCTACCACACGCAACGAAGCTGTGGACATGAGTCGGAGGGGAAACGTGGCCGGTTTCCTGTACCTGCAGATTAATGTATATATACATATAGTATCATATAGTCCCGCCCCTGGGCGCATATAAGTCGCAGCTGGGGGGGACACACATATTTTATTGCTGTTGTTTTATATGGTCAACGTATACTTGTTTTTTTCTCAGCCATGGTTTCATGCCGGTATTGGCATATGGATGAAACCGTGGGCATGCGGAAGCGATCGGTTTTCAAAATTGGCGGCTGCGTGCACAGTTTAATAGTTCTTGGTTTTGTTGGGCGGTGTTTTCATACCTTGCTTTCCCTAAAGCATTTTCCCACGCGTATTTGTTGGAGTATTGCGTCCATTGCTGCCTGGGGCCACCTACTCTTCTTTTACCTACATCGAACGTTACTGCGGAATTAGGTTCATAACTAACCCGCCTAAGCGGGTCATTGTCATTGCTACGTAAAATGTGCCCCGCTAGTCTAATTCGTCTATCTATTAACAGGTCAGAGAACAGTTTAATTTTCAGCGGGGTCCCAGGTTGATGTCCAAGCTCTTCGTTGGCCTTTCTTACGACAAACTCATTGGTGTTTTGCCGGTTTACATAGGTAGTTGTTAGTCCTAATATCTTCCTCAGCCCTCGGAGCTGAAAGGCGTTACGTCAACGTCTACTGTGCTCTGTATATATATATTTACGTATGTAGTTTCCTTATATCATGTGATTGCTGGTGTCTTTGCACGTAAGATGCATTCCACAACAAAATTCGCAATGACAGTTCTGATCAAGTGTGCGTGTGGAAGTATGACAAATATGACAGTAACTTCACAAACAGCAACCGGTTACAAGAATATCTGTTGACAGAGACCATACCGTCCAAGCTTTGCAAACCATGAAAACTCCACAGAAGCCGGAGGTGCCTTTGCCAGCCATTCCACTGCTGCCACGTCCCAAAAGCCTCAGCTGCGACAGCAGTATACGGCAGTTTCCAAATCAATTCGCCTTGACATCTTTGTCTTTGACATCTTTGACTCTCTTGCCGCCTTGAACCATAACCGCTGCAGCTTGGTTGGGCGAAGCCTATCGGAGCAAAGAAACCCCTCGGAAAGTGCGACGGTGACTTGTTCCCACCAGCAGTGCTTGATGGATCTTCTTGGGTTTTAATCTCTGGGAACCCCCTTGAGCTGTTAGGTTGCAAAGCTGGGCCAATCATGATCAAACAGTTTCAAATCATTGAGGTAGTACCTTCCGCAGCATGCAATCAGCGTCGAGCAAGGACCAAATGCCCGTCAGTACTGGCCTCTTCCACTGCAGCTGCTGATGCCAAGGCTTTTTGCAGTGTTGCAGCCAGTGCCTGCCGAAAGATGGAGCAAACAGGGCAAATGATGCTGGGTTGTATCGAGGTGATTTGGCATGTCATACAAGTATCACGGTGAAGTCGGCAACGAAAAATTGTTCGCTCAAAAAATGTCAAAACCGTCTTTTCATAGCTGCCGAATATTACCGAATGCTGCCGACCTGAGATTATAGCGACAGGTTGCTCCAATCAATTTGCTGTATCTGTGGTGGACCCATGACTCCCCATCCATCAACTTTTCCCATAGGAAATGGATGCACTGGAAACATCCTTTGATCTAGTTGAACGATGTTTTCATTTCATATAATAAATAATAATAAATAACATCAGGTTTCTCTATTCAGAGCTTTGCAATAAAACTTGAACTCTGAGAACATTGGATCATCTTGGCGCATGGTTGAGTATGTCGAGTTATGTTGAGTTGCCCAAAAAGAATCGAACACCAGTCAACGTTGGGCATGATGACCTCACGGAACCAAACATGAAGATGCAATGATGCAATGATGCAATGATGGATGATGAATGGTTGTCATGGTGTTGTCATAATGTTGTCATGTGAGTCATGAGGACTTGGATGGACTTGGGGGGTTCAGATTTCATCGGCAATTCATAGGCAATTCGCTTTTCACATGTTCACCTTGCCATCTTGGAAGTGCTTGGTGTATGGTACACTATAGTGCATAGTGATACCATGCAGCGCTTTGTACCCAACTGTGCCTCCTGCCCTGGATATGCCAGCCAAAAAAGAATCACAAAAGCAAGGCTTTGTGCGGACCGTTTTTGAACTCACAACTTGCTCTTTGGTCTTTGGGATGCTTTGGAATTTGCTTCCTCTCGCTCTGCCTTAGAAAAAAGGAAATGGATCGAAATGGGAGTTCATCTGAATCCAGCATCATGAGGCATGCAACAAAAGCGTAGATTTGTGAACTGAGATCAACAGAGATTTTATAAGCATCTGAGCTTCACTTGTTTGGCGGACATCAGATCAAAAGCGGCCAGCCTGGTCTCTTGAGTTCTTTTGAGTGCATGAATTTGGCCAAAGCGGCGAAGGTTCCCTTTGGAGCGGCTGGTGCCCGTTCAAGGGCAGCTAGCGCCTGGGAGAGTGGGCAAGAATACAGGTGAAAAAACGGTAATGGAAATCAGCATGAATGGACCGTACAACTGTAAGTCAAGTCAACATCAATGTTGACAAATGCAAGTGTGACTTAGGGGTCTGTCCTGTCTGTGCCTAGTAAGAAGAAATAGAAATACAGTACCTTCTCAGTGAACGCGCTTTTCTTTTTTGGGAGTGTCACGAGAGTCTTGCGGGCTAGGGACGATTGAGGATGCTGTAGCTTCAGCTATCTTTTTTAATGCCCCTGAATTCTGAATGCTTCTTTGTTGCAATTTCAGAAATTCATTCCATTTTGCCGAAGCTGATGAACCCCATACAAGCGATCCTCTAAACAGGTTGACTTTCGCTTATAAATCTTATAAAAAGTCCGGCGTTCTCTCAGGGCTTCCGCGCTGCTTCTGCGATGACAGAGCTTCCGCGGATGGGAGGTTAATCATGGTATATCATGGTTATTCGTGGTTAATCAGCATCCGGGAAATAGTCCGCTTCCACGGAGCTTCCGCGTCGTGTGGTCCATGTTGCCCTTCCGCGAGCCGTTCAATGGTCTTCTGCAAGCCCTTCCGAGTGCATATTATGTCCTTAAGATGCTTCTGGCTCACACCTACAAAATTGCCCACAAGTAACTAGCGTTCAGCTTGCACACAGCCTAATACCAGAATGGTGACGGTCAATGATCAACACATAGCTGAGCAAACGTCAAAGCGGTCTTTATATGTCTTTACTACCCATGCTCCCCATGGCCGCCATGGCCATCCACGGCCTCTGGAGGTGCGATGTTGCGCTTCTTGGCATGAAAAAGCAAAGCTGTCCGGCACCTACAAAGCTTCTACAAACGAGAAGTTGCTGCGATTGTGATCAATTGTGGTTGACAGTTTTTGCGCTATCAGTACAATTGCCAACGTCATCTAGTAGATATGCGGCTGTATGCTTCCTGTCACCTGTGGGATTAGAATTAGACATTTCGCGCTCAAAGCTCAATACATCTGCGATCGCCGAATGTCATGCAAAAGCAACGAATCAAACACTGCAACACGATGTAACACGCGCCTGCTGGACATCTCAACAACATCAGGACTGCCAAAGGGCAGGTTAGCGGCGGCATCATTGGGCAGCTCACCTGCCAATAGCGATGAAACCTGAAATAGCCTGGATGAATCTGAATTATGAATAGCCTCACCTGCCAATAGCGATGAAACCTGAAATAGCCTGGATGAATCTGAATTATGAATAGCCTGCCATCTTGACTCGGAGTTGGCTTGTACTGTCTTGTATTCTGTTTTCATGTAAGACACACATTAGCATGGAAAGTGTTGGAAAACATGTTGCAAAATGCTCACAGCATGATCAGTGAGCAGTACGGGCCTGCCTCCAAGAATTTGGCACAGCAATCTCGGCAGAGGAGACTGCCAAGCAATTGCAGAATGAGCCGCAGAAGCCTGTCGTCTCTAAAAAACAAAACATGATCTGACAAATGACAAATAACATCATCAAACATCAACGTATTTCAAAACATACACGTAGTCACGTAGTCACATAGTCACACATATCAGGCTGCACGATCTGTACAGTACAATAATAGATATGCAATGCATGTCATACGGTGAGAAAAAAACATATATCAAAAGGCGGCCTCCTAAAACTACACTAGATACACGCCTGGATAAACGATGGACCTTGTTTTTTTTTGTGACTTGTGCCATCCCTATGTTTTTCCCCAAAACTGCATCCGGCAGAGTGAGCATGGCAGCAATGACCTTTGCAAAACCCACAGCCTATGGCTTTTTGAAGCCACTATTTTTCGTAATTGTTCCTGTCACACTAGTCTACATCGATGCTGCACTCTTGGGCTGCTATCAAGAAACAAACCACAATAGGAAGGGGCCCAAAGGAAATCCCAAAATCCACCCCCAAAAATCATTCAATAGGATTCAAAAAGTGAAAACGCAAACAATTTTTGGGTTTGTTATTTTTACCCATGCTTGCTGTGAAGATCTGTGAAGTCATTCTCTTCCGATATCCATATTTGTTCCTGTCACACTAATCAGTCGTCCCAATATTGGGTTGCCAAAGTCTGCTAATGCCAAGACTTTCAATCAAACAAAAAACAAACTGGAGGGGTCCAAGATGTCCAAGGGGAATACTATAGTCCGGTTTACTAGAAAACACATTGTGCACTAGGATTAAACCAGTGAAAGCAGGTCATGTTTGGGCTTGCTATTTTGGTCCATTGTTTGTTCGCATAGATGGTGTCCCAATCTTGGGCTGCCAGAGTCTGCGGATGCCAAGACTTTCACTAAAAAATGCAAAATGGAGGGGTCTAAGGAAAATCCCCCATAAAACGATTCCACAATACAAGTAGGGTTCAAAAAGTGACAATGCAAGCCATCTTTGGGCGTGTTATTTTTGCACAGGGTTTCTTCGAAGTCATCATTTCCTTTTTTTTTCATACTTGTTCTTGTCACGCCAGTCTACGCAAATGTTGTTCCAATCTTGGGCTGCTGAAGTCTGCTAAAGTCAGGGCTTGCAAACACACTTCGAACTGGAGGCTTCCAACGGATTCCTACAACACTACATGAAGCTGCATGAAATCATTATGGTCCTGTATCATCCCGTATCTATGCTTCTTCCTGTCACAGTCTCTTGAGCCCTTCAAGGCGGCTAATGCCAACCGTTCCAAAGCATAGCTACAAAGTGGAGGGCTCGAACGGGAATACTACAAAATCAGTGCGCAATAAGCTTCAAACAGTTGAAACACAGCCATTTCTGGGCGTGTTGTTTTTGCCATTTTTTGGAAGTCAACATATTCTGTTCCACCGCACCTTTGGAGTTGACAAAACAATAACTCGGACGCTTGCATCACTCAGCCATTGTTGCGTAGTAGAAACTCGGAGCCATAAAATGCATAAAAAAATCCACGCCTTTAGAGAGGGAATTCCAAGAGGGACACCAGAGTTACTTGTTCCAAGAAGATTTCGCTGCAAAATACCGTTTCAACATTGCATGTCCGGTAAATGTCACCAGCAGCAAATCTCCCAACAAGCATTCAAAATTCGCTCCTTACAAAGTGTCGGGGTTCAGCACGTCAATTTCTTCGAAAAACATGGTGTTTCTGCAAGGGGACGAAACATCCTTTTTATGAAAGAAATCCTAAGGAGAATGCAATAGGCTTATCCTACCATCTGTTGTGGACAAGGTTGGCAGGAATCATGTCAGCCCCTGTCAGGATGTCAATGAAGGCAGAACAGGGCAGAACTACAGATCATATTAATTGTCACATCAAATCTGGTTGCTCTCCGAAGGCATCACCTCGCACAATAGAGTCAGCGATTGAGCAGCGAAGCGAGGCCTCACAGAACACACATGCGGCAAAGGAAAAGCGGTAAACTCCTGGCTGATCCAATTTGTTCCACTGTATTGCAACATATTGCAAGAAAACACACGTATTCCGCCTGTAATCCACCGGCATTCCGCAAAAGACCTTTTTGGCAACAACCTGCCAAGCGAGGATCGATACCAGGTCTGCTTCCAAGTGAAACATATCATTGACTCGCCTCTTCTGCACTGAGCTGCAGCCTTTGCCGTAACAGCTGTACCAGCCTTGCTTTGCTCTGCACACTGGTTGCGGGTTGTTGGAGAAAGTGAAACCACATTATATTTGTCAACATGTTTCAACTTATTCGTCCTTGCGCTGTCGTAAGCCCGTGACCTAGATTCATCCAGATTCTACATGACAGACTTTGTTTCTGACAGACTTCGTTCCTGATGAGTGGTATTGGGGCCTCTTTTCGGCTCCATTCTTGGCGTTAAAAGCGGCAGAATGTGACAGGCCTGAATTTCATTCCCTATTCCCTGAACACTTCAATTAAAGGGCCTCAACAGCGCCCCAAAAAAATGGAAGAGAACCCTGATCAATGAGGCTGCGTTTTTCCCAAAAGCATCTCCGATGCTTGGGTTCTCGTTTAGTTGCACTCGCCGCGGGGGAGCGAGACTGAGTGGTCGACGGAGATGTGTTGGATGGAAGGAAGGAAGGAAGGAAAAGGAAGGAAAAGGAAGGAAAAGGAAGGAAAAGGAAGGAAAAGGAAGGAAAAGGAAGGAAAAGGAAGGAAAAGGAAGGAAAAGGAAGGAAAAGGAAGGAAGAGGAAGGAAAAGGAAGGAAGAGGAAGGAAAAGGAAGGAAGAGGAAGGAAAAGGAAGGAAGAGGAAGGAAAAGGAAGGAAGGAAAAGGAAGGAAGGAAAAGGAAGGAAGGAAAAGGAAGGAAGGAAAAGGAAGGAAGGAAAAGGAAGGAAGGAAGGAAGGAAAAGGAAGGAAGGAAAAGGAAGGAAGGAAAAAAAAGGAAGGAAAAGGAAGGAAGGAAAAGGAAGGAAGGAAAAGGAAGGAAGGAAAAGGAAGGAAGGAAAAGGAAGGAAGGAAAAGGAAGGAAGGAAAAGGAAGGAAGGAAGGGGAGGAAGAAGGAAAGGAAGGGAAGGAAAAGGAAGGAAGGAAAAGGAAGGAAGGAAAAGGAAGGAAGGAAAAGGAAGGAAGGAAAAGGAAGCTTGGGGAAAGAAATAGCTTGGGGAAATAGCTTGGGGAAACTTCGCTGGGGGAGCGAGACCGGATGCTCGACGGGATGAAGCCGTGGAAATAGCTTGGGGAAACAGCGCTGGGAGGGAGCGAGACCGGATGCTCGACGGGATGAAGCCGTGGAAATAGCTGGGGGAAACTTCGCTGGGAGGGAGCGAGACCGGATGCTCGATGGGATGAAGCTGTGGAAATAGCTTGGGGAAACTTCGCTGGGAGGGAGCGAGACCGGATGCTCGACGGGATGAAGCCGTGGAAATAGCTTGGGGAAATAGCTTGGGGAAACTTCGCTGGGGGAGCGAGACCGGATGCTGGACGGGATGAAGCCGTGGAAATCGCTTGGGGAAACTTCGCTGGGAGGGAGCGAGACCGGATGCTCGACGGGATGAAGCCGTGGAAATAGCTTGGGGAAACTTCGCTGGGAGGGAGCGAGACCGGATGCTCGACGGGATGAAGCCGTGGAAATAGCTTGGGGAAATAGCTTGGGGAAACTTCGCTGGGAGGGAGCGAGAACGGATGCTCGACGGGATGAAGCCGTGGAAATCGCTTGGGGAAACTTCGCTGCATGGGAGGGAGCGAGACCGGATGCTCGACGGGATGAAGCCGTGGAAATAGCTTGGGGAAACTTCGCTGGGAGGGAGCGAGACCAGATGCTCGACGGGATGAAGCCGTGGAAATAGCTTGGGGAAATAGCTTGGGGAAACTTCGCTGGGAGGGAGCGAGACCGGATGCTCGACGGGATGAAGCCGTGGAAATAGCTTGGGGAAATAGCTTGGGGAAACTTCGCTGGGAGGGAGCGAGACCGGATGCTCGACGGGATGAAGCCGTGGAAATAGCTTGTGGCAACTTCGCTGGGACGGAGCGAGACCGGATGCTGGACGGGATGAAGCCGTGGAAATAGCTTGGGGAAACTTCGCTGGGAGGGAGCGAGACCGGATGCTCGACGGAATGAAGCCGTGGAAATCGCTTGGGGAAACTGCACTGGGAGGGAGCGAGACCGGATGCTCGACGGGATGAAGCCGTGGAAATAGCTTGGGGAAACTGCGCGGGGAGGGAGCGAGACCGGATGCTCGACGGGATGAAGCCGTGGAAATAGCTTGGGGAAATAGCTTGGGGAAACTTCGCTGGGAGGGAGCGAGACCGGATGCTCGACGGGATGAAGCCGTGGAAATAGCTTGGGGAAACTGCGCTGGGAGGGAGCGAGACCGGATGCTCGACGGGATGGATGAAGCCGTGGAAATAGGTTGGGGAAATTTCGCTGGGAGGGAGCGAGACCGGATGCTGGACGGGATGAAGCCGTGGAAATAGCTTGGGGAAACTTCGCTGGGAGGGAGCGAGACCGGATGCTCGACGGGATGAAGCCGTGGAAATAGGTTGGGGAAACTGCGCTGGGAGGGAGCGAGACCGGATGCTGGACGGGATGAAGCCGTGGAAATAGCTTGGGGAAATTTCGCTGGGAGGGAGCGAGACCGGATGCTGGACGGGATGAAGCCGTGGAAATAGCTTGGGGAAACTTCGCTGGGAAGGAGCGAGACCGGATGCTGGATGGGATGAAGCCGTGGAAATAGCTTGGGGAAACTTCGCTGGGAGGGAGCGAGACCGGATGCTCGACGGGATGAAGCCGTGGAAATAGCTTGGGGAAATATCTTGGGGAAACTTCGCTTGGAGGGAGCGAGACCGGATGCTCGACGGGATGAAGCCGTGGAAATCGCTTGGGGCAACTTCGCTGGGAGGGAGCGAGACCAGATGCTGGACGGGATGAAGCCGTGGAAATAGCTTGGGGAAAACTTCGCTGGGAGGGAGCGAGACCGGATGCTGGACGGGATGAAGCCGTGGAAATAGCTTGGAGAACTGCGCTGGGAGGGAGCGGGACCGGATGCTGGACGGGATGAAGCCGTGGAAATAGCTTGGGGAAAACTTCGCTGGGAGGGAGCGAGACCGGATGCTGGACGGGATGAAGCCGTGGAAATGGGGAAATAGCTTGGGGAAACTTCGCTGGGAGGGAGCGAGACCGGATGCTCGACGGGATGAAGCCGTGGAAATCGCTTGGGGAAACTTCGCTGGGAGGGAGCGAGACCGGATGCTGGACGGGATGAAGCCGTAGAAATAGCTTGGGGAAACTTCGCTGGGAGGGAGCGAGACCGGATGCTGGACGGGATGAAGCCGTGGAAATAGTTTGGGGAAACTTCGCTGGGAAGGAGCGAGACCGGATGCTGGACGGGATGAAGACGTGGAAATAGCTTGGGGAAACTTCGCTGGGAGGGAGCGAGACCGGATGCTGGACGGGATGAAGCGTGGAAATAGCTTGGGGAAACTTCGCTGGGAAGGAGCGAGACCGGATGCTGGACGGGATGAAGCCGTGGAAATAGCTTGGGGAAACTTCGCTGGGAGGGAGCGAGACCGGATGCTGGACGGGATGAAGCCGTGGAAATAGCTTGGGGAAACTTCGCTGGGAGGGAGCGAGACCGGATGCTCGACGGGATGAAGCCGTTGGAAATAGCTTGGGGAAACTTCGCTGGGAGGGAGCGAGACCGGATGCTCGACGGGATGAAGCCGTGGAAATAGCTTGGGGAAACTGCGCTGGGAGGGAGCGAGACCGGATGCTGGACGGAATGAAGCCGTGGAAATAGCTTGGGGAAACTTCGCTGGGAAGGAGCGAGACTGGATGCTGGACGGGATGAAGCCGTGGAAATAGCTTGGGGAAACTTCGCTGGGAAGGACCGAGACTGGATGCTGGACGGGATGAAGCCGTGGAAATAGCTTGGGGAAACTTCGCTGGGAGGGAGCGAGACAGCATGCTGGACGGGACAAAACCGTGGAAAATAGCTTGGGGAAACTTCGCTGGGAGGGAGCGAGACCGGATGCTGGACGGGACAAAACCGTGGAAATAGCTTCGGGAAACTGCGCGGGGAGGGAGCGGGACAGCATGCTGGACGGGACAAAACCGTGGAAAATAGCTTGGGGAAAGTGCGCTGGATGGGAGCGAGACAGCAGGCTGGACGGATAGGAAACCTTGAAAATAGTTTGCGGCAGAACTGTTGGCACGGGTTTTTTCAGGACAAATGCCATCATTGCGATTGGCCTGGAAAAAATTGTGGACCCAAGACTGGTCAAATGGTCCCAAGACCGGTCAAACGGTTTGCAAAGGCTGAAAAATGGGACATGCACAGAGAAGCTTTTACACAAAAAAAGCCTTTACACAGAAACTTTGACACACAGACGCGTTTACACAGACACAGAGGAGTCTTGACACAGAAGCCTTTACGCACAGAAGCTTTTTTGCACAGAGTAGCTTTTACACACAGAAGTCTTTACACAGAGAACTCTTGAGACAGAGAAGCCTGTACACACAAAGGCTTTTACAGAGAGAAGCCTTTTGTACAAAGAAGTCTTGACACAGAGGAGCTTTTACGAGAGAAGTCCTTACACAAACGAGATTTACACACAGAAGGTGTTACAGATAGACATTCTTTCGGCGCACAGAAACTTTAACACAGAGCAGCTTGTACACACAGAAGCTTTTACACAAAAAAGCCTTTACACAGAGAAGTTTTTCACACAGGAGCTTTTGCACAAGAAAACTTTTACACAGGAAAGCTTTTACACACAGACACTTTCACACACAGAAGCTTTGTACACCGAGAAGTCTTACACAGAGGAGCTTTTACGCACAGACGCATTTACACAGAGAAGCCTTTACACAGAGAAGCCTTTACGCACAGACGCGTTTACACAGAGAAGTCTTTGCACAGAGCAGCTTTTGCACACAGAATCTTGTACACACAGACGCTTTCACACACACACAGGAGGTTTTACAAACAGACAACTTTACGGCGCACAGATTTTTTACACAGAGCAGCTTTTACGCAGCGAAGCTTGTACACACAGGGGGCTTTTTTACACAGAAGCTTTTACATAAGGTTTTTTTAATACACAGAAGCTTTTACACACAGAAACCTTTACACACAGAAGCTTTTACACACAGAAACTTTTACGAAGGTTTTACACACAGAAGCTTTTAACACAAAAAAACCTTTAAA